CCAACCTGGGCAACATAGTGAGACCTCATCTCTATAATTAAAAATGTAAATAAATAAAAATATAATAAAGAAATAAAAAGAATTACCAGCACTCAACTATAAACATATAACTCCCATTTTATGGATAAATGCCAGGAAAATAGAATTTACAATTTTATATACGCTTTAGATTTTTTTTTTTAATTGAATAAACTATTTCCCCCAATAAGTGACTCAAAGAACTTAATCAGGAAGATACTTTTTTTCTTCTGAGACACAGTCTCACTCTGTGACCCAGACAGGAGTGCAGCGGCAGGATCACAGCTCACTCCAGCCTCAACCTCCCGGACTCAGGTGATATTCCCACCTCAGCCTCCAGAGTAGCTAAGACTACAAGAATGCACCACCATACCTAGCTTATTTTTGTAGAGACAGGGTTTCACTATGTTACCCAGGCTGCTCTCAAACTCCTGAGCTGAAATGATCCACCTGCCTTGGTCTCCCAAAATGCTGGGATCCCAAAGTGCGAGCTACCGCACTGGGCCAGGAAAAAAAATTTTTAACATAATATGATATCAGGTTGGTTTTTTTTGTTTTTTGGGTTTTTTTTTGAGATGGAGTTTCGCTCTTGTCGCCCAGGCTGGAGTGCAATTGTGGAATCTTGGCTCACTGCAACCTCCGCCTCCCAGGTTCAAGAGAGTCTCACCTGACTCAGCCTCCCAAGTAGCTGGGATTACAGGCATGCATCACCACACCCAGCTAATTTTTTATTTTTAGTAGTGACAGGGTTTCACCATGTTGTTCAGGCTGGTCTCGAACTCCTGATCTCTAGTGATCCACCCACCTCAACCTCCCAAAGTGCTGGGATTACAGTTGTGAGCCACTGCACCCGGCTAATATTAGCTTTTATGCCAGGGATTTAGTGTGGTATCTTCTTTCTCTTCTACTAAATATCCAACCTCAAACCCTTAATCTCAAGATCAGAAATAGATATCTTCACCTTTCTACTAATGTTACTTACTCATCATAAATCTCTTTTTGTAGATCTTTGGCAAAGTCAAATAGCTGTGCAATTGAAAGCAGTGACACGTGAAATTCTGCACCTAAATTTAAAAAGCAAGGAAGGAGACGTTTATTGCCAATAAGAGTCACTTTACTTTAAAAGTAGCATTCTTCTCATGTACTAGAGTTAATCTTTTTGTTTTTTAAATGAGAAACAGAACAAAATAGAAGAAAAGTCATCCCATAGTCCCCTCACCTCAGGGTCCCCCTACTCAAGCAAAGCTATTGTTAATATCTTTGAAGTATTCATAAAAATAGAACTAATTTTCAACTCCCCACATTATTTAATTACTCCATAAGAACTGTGCAATGGCTCACGCCAGTAATGTCATCACTTTGGGAGGCCAAGGCAGGAAGATCACTTGAGCTCAGGAGTTCAAGACTAGCCTGGACAACACGGTGAAACCTCATCTCTACTAAAAGCACAAAAATTAGCCAGGCATAGATGTCCATGCCCAGCTACTCAGGAGGCTGAAGTGGGAGAATCGCCTGAGCCCATGAAGTCGAGACTACAGTGAGCCATGATTGTACCACTGCACTCCTGTGTGGGTGACAGAGTGAGCCCCTGTCTCAAAAAAAAAATAAATGGAAGGATAAATGACTACACACAGGGTACAGTGTACACTGCTCGCTAATGGGTGCACCAAAATCTCAAAAATCACCACTAAACCTGTTTCCCAAAAACCTACTGACATTTTTATTTTTGTGAGATGAAGTCTCGCTCTGTTGCCTAGGCGCTCTCTCAGCTCAGTCACTGCAACCTCCACCTCCCAGGTTCAAGCGATTCTCCTGCCTCAGCCTCCTAAGTAGCTGGGATTATAGGCGCCCACCACCACACCCAGTTAATTTTTGTATTTTTAGTAGAAACGGGGTTTCACCTTGTTGGTCAGGCTACTCATGAACTCCTGACCTCAGGTGATCCACCTGCCTCGACCTCCCAAAGTGCTGGGATTACAGGCATGAGCCACCGCACCTGGCCCAAACCTATTGAAATTTAAGGAAAAAAAATGGGAGTAGAATATAAATTTAAAAAAGAGACTTATGCCGGGCATGGTGGCTCACGCCTGTAATCCCAGCACTTTGAGAGGCCGAGGGGGGCAGATCATGAGGTCAGGAGTACAAGACCAGCCTGGCCAACAGAGTGAAACCATGTCTCTCCCAAAAATACAAAAATTAGCCAGGCAGGGTGGTGCGCGCCTCTAGTCCCAGATACTTCGGAGGCTGAGGCAGGAGAATCACTTGAACACAGGAGGCAGAGGCTGTGGTGAGCCGAGATTGCCCCACTGCACTCCAGCCTGGGCAACAGATCGAGACTCCATCTCAAAAAATAAGTAAATAAGTTACTGAAATGTTCAATTATAGCCTAGGAAAAATAAGTATTTTCTGAAAGAAACAGGACACTATTCCTACAGAGTTTTATATACATTCTACTGGAAATTTTCAAAACTAGGTAAAGATCATCATTAGGAAAAGAATATTTCACTTTCCTACCAAAAATAATGTTCAAAAGATACCTACCTTTAATTATGCTTACAGAATTTTTGTAGATGATCCGTGCCAACTCGCCCTTAAGGATTTCTTCAGAATAATCAGGATGCTCCTAAAGAGTGTTATATCAAACGTAACTTAATAGGTAGTACAAGGAGGAAAAGCACTAGGACGAAAATTAACAATCCTAGACTATCTGTGCCATATGACCACTGGCAAATCATGTCTCTCTCTCCAGGCCAGTTCCCTCACTTGTAAAGTATGCAGCTTGAACAAGATCACTGATCTTCCAATTGTGTTCTTTCAGGCTCCAAGAGCGGTGGCAAGATCACACAGCTTCAGGACTCACTCTCCACTTGGACCAAAACAAGTCAGATTTTACATGTCTTATTTGCGCTTCTGTGTAACATTTTATTTGAATAAAAAAGTCCCGGCCTGGCGCAGTGGCTAGCGCCTACAATCCCAGCACTTTAGGAAGCTGAGGCGGGTGGATCACTTGAGGTCAGGAGTTCAAGACAAGCCTGGCCAACATAGTGAAACCCCATCTCTACTAAAAATACAAAAATTAGCCAGGCATGGTGGCGGGGCGCCTGTAATCCCAGCTACTCAGGAGGCTTAGGCAAGACAATCACTTGAACCCGGGAGGCGGAGGTTGCAGTGAGCCAAGATCGTGCCATTGCACTCCACCCTGGGCAACAAGAGCAAGACTCCATCTGAGAAAAAAGTTCTAAGCTGGAAACCACAATAATAGACAATAGCAAAGTTTCTTCTCAGCTCTAACATTCTAAATCTTTTAATTATTCTGTCACATAAGAAATTATATAAAAAGGGAAAGAAAGGCCAGGAAACCACACATTTCACAACCTTTCTCAAGCTCCTTGAATCCATTAATACATCACTTTATGAGATAATACAGTGTTAAAGAATAGCATTTGGCTATTCTGTAAGTAACAATTTTGAGGACCACATTAATTAGTCCAAATATCTATTTTTATAGCATAAAGCTTCACTTTCCTAAGTCCACTTATAATTAACACTAACTCATCTGGAAGTTTCAAAATGGAACAACATTAAACATTAAAGCTTGAACCGGGAGGCAGAGCTTGCAGTGAGCCAAGATGGTGCCACTGCACTCCAGCCTGTGTGGCAGAACAAGACTCCGTCTCAAAAAAAAAAAGAAAAATATATTCCAAATATTTTCTCTTACTCCTAAGTAGGCTCAAAATGCTATACATTGTTAGCAAGTGAGAATAAAATAATTAGAACCTTACCACATCCATACTGGCTTTTTCAAATTCTTCCTTCTCTTTCCTCAGTTTTTCCGCATGCATCAGCTCCATCCTAAAGTACTACAGAAGGGAAATAAACTGAAAATCTTTGGAGATGCTTTTTTAAATTTTTTTGAGACAGGGTCTTGCTCTGTCACCCAGGCTGGAGTGCACTGGTGATCACAGCTCATTTCGGCCACGAATTCCTGTGCTCAAGTGATCCCCTTGCCTCAGCCTCCTGAGTAGCTAGGATTAGAGGCACATCCCATCACACTCAGGTAATTTTTTTATTTTTATTTTTTGGAGAGACAGGATCTTGCTACGTTGCTGCCTGGCCTCAAACAACTGACCTCAAGTGATCCTCCTGCCTCAGCCTCCCAAAGTGCTGGGATTAAAGGCATGAGCCACCATATCCAGCCTTAATTTTCATTTAAGAATTAAATAGCAGGCTGGGCATGCCTGTAATCCCAACACTTTGGGAGGCCAAGGTGGGCGGATCACTTGAGGTCAGGAGTTTGAGACCAGCCTGCCCAACATTGTGAAACCCCATCTCTACTAAAAATACAAAAATTAGTAGGGCATGGTGGCGCACACCTATAATCCCAGCTACTTCAGGGGCTGAGGCAGGAGAATAGTTTGAACCCCGGAGGCGGAGGCTGCAGTGAGCCAGGAACACACCATTGAACTCCTGCCTGAGTGACAGAGTGAGACTCCGTCTCAAAAAACATAATAATTAAATAGCAGTTCCTCTTTTATCCTGACAAATGACTCAAACAGTGCAGCTTCCAATACATCCTTTCTATTATTTGGGATTTTCATCTAAAGCTTGGCCCTCAAATGTTCTACAGCACCGTCCATAAGGGAGTAAGTCCCCAAAGAGGGAAAGGAAGTAGTGCCACGTATCTATCTCAAGAAAAGGAGACAGAAAGAACGTGGAGAAAACAGGAAGACAAGGCAAAGAAGCCAGAAGAGGGCTTCTTTGGAGAACCAAGGGAACAAGGGGAAAAAGAAAAAAAATAAAAACAAAAGTATAAAGAGGCTAAATCTGGCTCCCAACTAAAAAAATGTTAGAGTCTAGTTCCCTATTCCTTCCAACCATAGGAAGGAGGTGGGGGTTCTAACCTCTCAACTAACTTAGAAGCTGCAGTGTCAACACCTACCACTGGCCAAAAAATAAAAAGATGTTTTTCCCTGGCCGGGCACGGTGGCTCACACCTGTAATCCCACCACCTTGGGAGGCTGAGGCGGGTGGATCACCTGAGGTTGGTAGTTCGAGACTAGCCTGCCCAACAGGGCAAAACCCCATCTCTACTAAAAATACAAAAATTAGCCAGACGTGATGAGGGGCCTCTGTGATCCCAGCTACTTGGGAGGCTGAGGCAGGAGAATCGCTTCAACCCAGGAGGTAGAGGTTGCAATGAGCCAAGACTGGGCCACTGTACTCCAGCCTGGGCACCAGAGCGAAACTCCGTCTCCAGAAAAAAAAGAGGCTTTTCCTTACCCACACCTCCACACTTATTCCTAGCCTCCATAAATTGAAGCCTTTTTTTTATTTAATAAATACACGGGCCGGGAACAGTGGCTCACGCCTGTTATCCCAGCACTTTGGGAGGCCAAGGCGGGCAGATCACGAGGTGAGGAGATCGAGACCATCCTGGTTAACACGGTGAAACACCATCTCTACTAAAAAAATACAAAAAATTAGCTGGGCATGGTGTCGGGCACCTATAGTCCCAGCTACTCGGGAGGCTGAGGCAGGAGAATGGCGTGAACCTGGGAGGCAGAGCTTGCAGTGAGCCAAGACTGCGCCACTGCAC